TCGTGACTTGGCCCAAAAAATAACGCGGGCTCAAATATCCGGCCGCTGGGCCTCCAAAACGCCAAGGCGGGCGCACTGCGACGACACCCTGGTTGGCGTGGAGCTGAAAAGGAGCGCGCCGTTGCCTTTGCCAGCGCGCGGTGGACACAAAGCTCGTGCTCCACACTGTATCTTACAATGCGCCGTTCGTCGGCATCCTCGTCGTTCGCTTCCTCGTGGTCCTCGTCTTCGTTCTTCCCGTGCACCACCAGTTCCTCTCCTCCTCCTCCTCCTCCTCCTCCTCCTCCTCCTCCTCCTCCCTCCTCCTCCTCCTCCTCGTCCTCGTCCTCCTCCTCCTCCTCCTCCTCGTCCTCCTCCTCCATTCCTTTGCCACATAAATCACTCCTCCCTGTCCCACCCCGAGGCCAAATGTTTAGGGCGGGCTGGGTGTTTCGCCGGAGATCTCCTCATCATTTATGATTCCGAAGCATACAAAATGGACAACCGCTTCACAGAGGGCGGGCGGGTGGTTATTCAACAGGTGGGTCTCGCCGTAGCGCGGCGCGCATTACCTTTAAACATTTGCGACAGCTTCACGGATTGAGGGCGGGTCGTTTTCAAAATGTGGCTCTCGCCTCAGCGCGGCGCACACTCGCTTTACAGCTTTGCAAGAGCTGTGCGGGTGGTCTTCCAAAATGTGGTTCTCGCCGTAGCGCGCCGCACATTCCTTTTAAAACTTTGCAAGAGCTTCACGGATTGAGGGCGAGTCGTTTTCAACATGTGGCTCTCGCCTCAGCGCGGCGCACATTCGTTCTAAAAAACAGAGTTTCACACATTGAAGGCAGATGATTTTCAAAATGTGGCTCGCCCTTGCGCGGCGCGCATTCGTTTTAAAACACTTGCAAGAGCTTCACGGATTGAGGACGGGTCGTTTTTTAAATGTGGGTCTCGCCTCAGCGCAGCGCACATTCGTTTGAAACATTTGTAAGAGCTTCACGGATTGAGGGCGGGTGGTTTTTAACATGTGGCCCTCGCCGTAGCGCGGCGCGCATTCGTTTTAAAACTTTGCAAGAGCTTCACGGATTGAGGACGGCTCATTTTCAAAATGTGGCTCTCGCCTAAGCGCGTCGCACACTCGTTCGCAAATTGAAAAAAGTTCCGCGGATTCCCATCATCAACGTCCAGGAAATTCTGTTTTGCAGAAATGCTGGATTACGAAGGCGCACCGGTTACGTTGACTCGCAGTGGTGAAGTCCCAGGAATGGCCTTCTGGCACGATTCAGGATCGTCAACACTCACCAGTCATGATGATCCGTGGCGTTGGAATCCCGAGAACAATTTAGTTGCGTCTTCAAACACTTGTCTTCCAACGAGGCAGTTCGCCCAATGGAAATGAACCGTTGCTGGGGCCTGTGATGAGGGAGCTTGGAGGAAGGGTTTATTCCAACATCGTTGGTGACTCTTGGGTTTACACTAGTCATCCTCCTCCTTCTCCTCCTCCTCCTCGCTTCGTGCAAGCCCGGCAGACGTTCAACCCGCGGCGATCTTCGCTCAGATCGACTTGTCGACGTCGTCCCCGAGGCTGGCCTCTCCCTCCTCCTCGCCCACGCCGGGCTGCCCCGGCAGCGTGCGCACCGCCACGTGGGCGAGGACCGCCAGGAGCGCCCCGCAGAGCGGGCCCGCCCAGAAGACCCACATGTCCTCCCAGATCTTGTCGCTGACCTCATCGGTGACCCTGTCGAGGAGAACCGTCGCGACGAGCGCGGGCCCGATGGTTCGGGTCGGGTTGATGGAGCACCCGTCGATCGGGATGAGGATGGAGTGGGCGAGATAGACGGCCACTCCGATGGCCAGGGGCATCGTGACATTCTTCGTCTCGTCCACGACAGCCTGCAGCACCATGAACACGAGCAAGAATGTACCCAAAGCCTCACCTGCGAGGGCCTCCCCAATGCCGACGTCGGCCGCAAGCATGTTGGAGCCGAGTGCCCCTCCGCCAGGCACGCCGTCTGGAGTCCTGTCGCTGTCCGTCTCTTTGATAAGTGCAACTAGCGCCGCCCCCGCGACGGAGCCGAGGACCTGGAAGACGAGGTTCACGGCCGCCTGGAGAATGCCCATGTCCCCGATGCCAAAGAGCTTGGCGATCGCGAGCGCGAACGTCACCGCGCAGTTGCACTGGAGCCCCCATCGCCCCAGGGCGCTCGCGAGCACGAAGATGCAAAACCCGAACGTCAACGACACCTGCTGAACCCACCCGCTGGTCCCAGCGACGCCGGTGGCAGTGCCGCAGCAAAAAGCCACGAAGAGGAACATCCCGATGAACTCGGCCGCACATCCCGCGGGCTTGATACGAACCGCCATCCCTCGGCCCCGCGTAGGCACCTGGGCAGGTGAGCAGCAGAGCGCCCCTACTTCCTAAGCCTTGAGCCATATTGGCCACGGAGGCGTCCGAGGGGTGAGGTGTGGCAGCTGCGGGGACCGCTCGGAGGGGGGTGTTCTCTCGAGTGCTCAGGAGCTCGACTGCTCAGGAGATCCTCAGGATTCTTCTCGGCGGCGCGCACAAGGAAGTATGGGGGAGGGGGGAAGGCTTCTTAGAAGCAGGGGTGCTTCTAAGAAGCCTGTCCCCCCTCCCCCAACCTCCCTCTGCGCGTGGCTGATCTTCAGGATCCCGTTGCCCAGGAAACCTCACGGTTCTTTTCGGGTGTGGCCGGAATTTCCCCTGGCCCATGGTGCCCCCAGGATTTCCCAGGAGGCCCCCCGGCCTCCAGAGCACCCCTCACGAGTTCCAGAGGGCCCCAGGGACTCCAAAATGAAACGAAAAGCTGGGGGCACCTTGGGCTAGGGGCACCTTTCTAGCCACCCCCGCTCTTAAGGATATCGGCCAGAATCCTCCGGAATCCTTCCTGGATCCTCAGACATTTTCAGGATCCCGCATCCCCAGGAATCTCCAGGATTCCCCGAGGAACCCTGCAGGAATCGTCAAGGAGTCTTCGGGAACCTTTCAGAGTGCCTGAAGAATCCTTCAAGATTCCTTCAGGAACCCCCCGAGGAATCCTCAGGGAGCCCTGAGGAATCCTTAGGAATCCGCGGGAATCCCTCTGAGCATTGTTTAACCGATGCCCATCCCCACCAGCGTGGGCTGGGCGCCACTGGCCGATCTACCCCCATTGAATGGGGATATAGGCTGCTCTCTTCGGGTTTCGAGGGGCATATCACCAACTAGGGTGGTGAGACGGTGGGGCTCGAGACGTGGATGGGGATAGGGATCGGCTAAACGATACTGACCCTCCGAAAACCTTGGCAAACCTCTGTCTGCAAGGCGGCCCACCTTCAACGTCCACAGGGAGACCCACCCCCACACTCCAACGTGGAGAAATAGGAAGGCACCAACTACACACCAGGATCGGTGCATACGTCCTCCTGCCCTGGGCAGAGTGCATCTACACCGCTACTGGGCCCAGGATCGGCCTGGCCAGGATCGGTGCAGGTGTATAGCTGGTGCCCTCCGAGAGAGAAAGTGGGACCCACCCCTCACTCCAACAAGGGGGGGGGAAGGGGGATATACAGTCGGGGCGTTGACCTAAGGAACCCTACGTAAGGAACGGGGCCCCTTGTTTCCACAAGTAAACTTCGACTTCCGATCGAAAACATCAGGAAAACCTGAGGCAAGCTGTGAAACACTTAAGGAACGCGGAGCCCCTCCCCAACGAAAAGGATTCCTTCTTCAGGGCCCCGACTGTACGGGCTCTCAGCGGCAAGCGGCGCGCCTGGTTCGGACCCCCCAGGACAGGGGGGAGAACAAAAAAATTGGGGTCGTCGGCGGCACCCGCTGCAACCGGCGGTTAAACAACCCCGGGGAATCCCAGGGGGTCCCGTTCGCGCCAACGGGCACCGCCGACATAGAGGCATGAGCATAATAACCACAACAACAACAACAACAACAACAACAACAACAACAACAACAACAACAACAACAACAACAACCGCGACGAGACGCTGCTGTACGCGACCAGAGTGCGGCCCTTGCCAAGGTTACAGCTATAGCGGGCGTGGTCCCTCAAATGTTGTAGCACTCGTTACGGTCGTCGGATAGGATAGATCACGCATACAAGGGGCAATATTGTCTAACCAGATAGTTCTGCAATCGCCCGAGCTAACAGTGCCATTGCGTGTGTAACTTGTGCACTGAGGCCAAGATAAGACACAACCTCACAACAATCCTGTGCAATCAGCCCGCACCTTCCCATGTCGTAAGCCACCCTGTATTATGAAGTGCCGGTCCCCTTTGGCGCCGCCTCAAACAAATCTTCACCTGTGAGACGGAAAAGACAGGATGTTACAGAGGGGAAGGCTTCTATTACCCAGAGGTTGGGGTTCGACGGACGAGGAGGCAGTATGGGAGAAGGGAGACGGGTGGAGGAAGGCGGGAGGAGTAGCGCGAGGAGGAGGGGGAGGGAGGGGGAAGGAGGAGCGGCTCGGAGAGCAGGACATGGAGGAGGAGGGGGGGGCGGATAGAAGTATGGGTGCGGATGGAGGACGATGAAGGAGGATGGAGGGGGTTAGAAGCAGGAGGAGGATAGCGAAATGGAAGTAAAAGAGGATGAAGATGAGAGGGACGACGACGACACCACCACGAATCACCACACTCATGACCACGACGATGGCGACCACGACGACCACGACCACGACGGCTACAAATGACGACACCCGCCGCCACGACGACGACCACCGACCACGACCGGACCACGACGACGGCCACGACGGCAACGACGACCACGGCGGCGGCGACGGTGGCCAGCAGCGAGCACAGAGCGGCGGAGGCAGCAGCGGCGGCGATGGGAGGGCCACCCTAGAGACAGGGGACGGGATGCCGAGGCAATCGACGCCCCTCCTCTGCCTCTCGCGGGGCGGCCTTCGTGCTGCCAGGGCTGGCGAGGGCCGGCGCTGGGCGCTCGCTTCTGCCCCGCCGCCGTAGGTGCGCCCGCTCGCGCTTGCCCCGCCGCATCCTCCCCGCCGCCGCTGCCTGCCCACCCCGCTCAAATCCCTGCGCCTCCTCTAGAGAGCCAGCGAAGAACGCAATCTCCCCGCCAGGCACACGCGAGTGCGGCCCAGGCCTTGTGATACGAACGTCTGCGACATGCAGGCTCTCGAATCTCGAAGCCCAGGAACATCCATGCGTGCGTGCGTACTTTTGTTTCGCTCCTGACCTGCGGCTCCTCTCCCCCCGTCCACGGGTTGCCGGTCCCAACCGGGCGGCGCGCCGTGGTGCGAGGCCGGAGTATATCCATCACCACCGCACTGGGTTGCCACGTCCGGGCTGAATCCCACCAGCCCTTGAGGGCCTAAGGTGGTCTAGAGCGCTTCCTCTTCCAACCCCCTTCCCCTTCGGGGAAGGGTTTATCGCTGTTCCTTATTGATATACACCACCTCCCCCAGGCGACCGAAGGCCAACAAGGCACCATGCCGACACCATGCCGACCCGCCCCCCACCATCCCTGCACAAAAAACAAACCGCACTCTGCCTCCACATTTGGAACAGCGGCCAACCCGATGCGGACCCCCCCACCATCCCTGTCAACAAAAACAATGCATAGTACACTTAAGGCCAAATTATTGTGTCATGTTCGTGAGCAGCGCGAGCACTTTGTATTGTCTTGACAAGGACGGCGGGGGTGTCAGCGTATTCCTTGCCGTGCGCAGGGCTACCATCCCTGACCAAAAAACAATACAACATGCACCTCGCGGCTAAATCTGGATCATGCGCGGCCATCCCGCGATGACTGCAAAGTGGTTTTTGACAGGGACGGTGGGGGTGGGGGCGCGTGGCCTGCTGTGCGCAGGCCCACCAGACACAATGATGGGCATCGGTTTTCAACGAGGATGGCGGGGATGTGCTGTCACGTGCGCAGGCGCACCTGACGCACTCTGCACGTGCCCCGAACGCGGCGCACCTGGCGCGGCTGGAGTGTGCGGCACATCTGGCGCACTCGGAGCACCTGGCGCATCTGGCGCACCAAGTGTGCCTGGCACGCTCGGGCCCCAGGGGAGCCTGGCCCGCGTGGCGTCCCTCGCACGCGTGGCGCACCTCGCCCAAGCGTCGCGCACCAGGGGTCGGCTTTGGTTCCCAGTAGCTGTCCATCCAAAGACGATCGCTGAACGTGCCCAGGCTCGGGGATTACTTATGTGTAGGGAGGGCGGATGGGAGTGAGCTAGATGGCTTTCGGGCGGGTGGGTAGCTTGACCCCTCCCCCAACCCCCTCCCCTGGACCTAAACAGGGCCGGTCGCGAGCTGTCAGGGAGTCCAAAACGGCCTCAACAAAAAAAACACACAATTATCCCGGCAAAACAACCTAACAGCCATGTGTAGGAGCATATCTGGAAGCATTCCCCTTAAGATTCAGATGAGAATCCAGTTGTAGAATTCTACTGTTCTCGCATTCGTAGTCGCATTCGCGATGACAGTCGCAGTGGCAACGGCAGCCGCCGTCACAGCCTCAGCCTCAGCCTGCCTCAGCCTCAGCCTCAGCCTGCCTCAGCCTCAGCCTGCCTCAGCCTTAGCCTCAGCCTGCTTCAGCATCAGCATCAGTCTGCCTTCAGCCTCGGCCTCAGCCTCAGCCTGCCTCAGCCTCAGCCTCAGCCTCAGCCTGCCTCAGCCTCCGCCTGCTTCAGCCTCAGCCTCAGTCTGCCTGCAGCCTCGGGCTCAGCCTCAGCCTGCCTCAGCCTGAGCCTGCCTCAGCCTCAGCCTCAGCCGCAGCCTGCCTCAGCCTCAGCCTGCCTCAGCCTCAGCCTGCCTCAGCCTCAGCCTCAGCCTGCCTCAGCCTCAGCCTCAGCCTGCTTCAGCCTCAGCCTCAGCCTCAGCCTGCCTCAGCCTCAGCCTCAGCCTGCTTCAGCCTCAGCCTCCTCAGTCTGCCTTCAGCCTCGGCCTCAGCCTCAGCCTGCCTCAGCCTCAGCCTGCATCCTTCAGCCTCAGCCTCAGCCTGGCCTCAGCCTCAGCCTCAGCCTGCATCAGCCTCAGCCTCAGCCTGCCTCAGCCTCAGCCTCAGCCTCAGCCTCAGCCTCAGCCTCAGCCTCAGCCTCAGCCTGCCTCAGCCTCAGCCTCAGCCTGCTTCAGCCTCAGCCTCAGTCTGCCTTCAGCCTCGGCCTCACAGCCTCGGCCTCAGCCTCAGCCTGCCTCAGCCTCAGCCTGCATCAGCCTCAGCCTCAGCCTCAGCCTGCCTCAGCATCAGCCTGCCTCAGCCTCAGCCTCAGCCTGCCTCAGCCTCAGCCTCAGCCTGCTTCAGCCTCAGCCTCAGTCTGCCTTCAGCCTCGGCCTCAGCCTCAGCCTGCCTCAGCCTCAGCCTGCATCAGCCTCAGCCTCAGCCTCAGCCTGCCTCAGCATCAGCCTGCCTCAGCCTCAGCCTCAGCCTGCCTCAGCCTCAGCCTCAGCCTGCCTTCAGCCTCAGCCTCAGTCTGCCTTCAGCCTCGCCTCAGCCTCAGCCTGCCTCAGCCTCAGCCTGCATCAGCCTCAGCCTCAGCCTCAGC